AGGGGTGTTGACATAGCTTTATTGTCAGTTTCACTAAGGTGTTAATTTGGTAGAGGATTATAACTAAGGTTACTTGAACGGGATACCCTTAGTAGCATGTCCCTGTTTTCTAAAGTCTATGCTGGAACACAGAGAGAATGAATAATCTGGAACACGTGCGGGAATAAATAATGTGTAACAAGTAGACTGTATGATGATGAAACGAAATGAATGCAGTCTTGTAGAATACGTTATTAAGCTTAATGCTCTTCGCTCCAACTGGAGCATAAGGTGCCAATATATCTACACCAGCCTTCACGATCCAGAGCAAGCGAATGAATCTCGCTCCAGGTTTCCCCCATTTCTACTATTTCCTCTTCCAATGTCCTACGCCAGGTGCCCAATAGTCTGCCTCTTCTCCTTTTTTCTAGTGGTGCCCATCTGAGTGAAGTGTGTGGGTGTCTGGTCATATTCATTCTCATTACATGGCCCAGCCATCGCCAGCGTCTTGCTTCATGAATTATATTTTTGATACCTGTGCGTTTACTGATTTTTTTGTTTGTAAAATGTTGTGACCAGTGTACTTTCAGAAATCGGCGGAGACACCGGCTTTCAAATACATTGTGCCTGCTCTCAATCTTCTTTTTGGTTCTGCTGCATACAGGAGGACCGAGCGTACATTTGATTCATTGATTTTCAACTTCGTGGTGGATCAGGACTGACGTTTTCCAGATATTCTGCAGTCCACTGAAGACGTGAAGTGGAGATTTTCTTCTCGATACTGCTGTCTGTCAGCTGGTATATAGCTGCCAAGGTATTTGAAATTCTGTACCTCTTCTATATCTACTCCATGCACACTGATTTTTGTTGTGCCTATGTTCTTCATAACCTTGGTTTTATCAGAGTGAATCCTGAGTCCTATGCCTGTTGCAATTCTGTTGACCCGATCTGTCTTCTCTTGAATGTCTTTCTCGGTATGAGAAAACAGGGCAATGTCATCTGCAAAGTCAGCATCCCCAGTCTTGCTGTTACGCCCTATACAAGTCCCCTTGGTTTGTACGTAATACTATCGAGTTATTTGAACATGTTAAACGTTTCAATATTGTAGCATACTGAGACAGGCCATTTCCGTTTGATCTATTCCATTCAGGCTACTTTGCCTCCTCCTCCTCCTCCGGTAATTAAGAAACAAATAGCTATTGTCGGAATGATTCACGTTTCACCGCCACCAACTCGACCCCCCTCTCTAGTGTTAATATGTTAATTGATGCAACACTTGTTTCTTGTCCGAATACACATACTTTGAACAAGGTTATGTAAACTGCGGGGACTGATTGGGCACCATCAACGAATTAGGCCTGATGGCGATCAGACAATTTTATTCAGTCAAAAGCTTGTGTTAAATCGGGAAATGCAATATCAGAATATATTCAATGTCTAGTTGAGTCAGAATAAGTGCATTTTATTTTATTTTTATTTTCAATTTTTATGAAGAACAGAACGTAGCCAATTCTGGGCAGTTACGTTTTTAACTTACTCAAGACACACACATTTTTTTTTTAACTCCGATGATGTCTTTATACTAGCAGATTCTATCCGAAATTCCTTATTAACATTCCTTCTGAAAACCTTCATATAAATTGTTTAGGCAAATAATGATCTGAAAATAAAATATCTTCTAATCAGTACACTAATTTAATCCAATTGCAATAAATCCACCAGTCAAGGATTTCTTCGGAGCACTATATTCAGCTAAACCTTTGTCATTTTGCGTACAAGGCGATATAATATAGAATACGTTTATCTTTGGTTGTATTATGGCCGTGTGAAATTCTTGACAGCGCGAATGTGTATGTACTTGCATATGGATTGGAAGCCTTTCAAGTTTTATGTGTTTATCGCCACTCATTGCGCTGGGCAAATGTTTATCGCTTCTTATTGCGCTGAAAGCCCTGTCCAATATGTAATAGTTCTCAAGACAATGTCTATGTTAAAACACTGTCAATTCTGTACGTAATATAAGTAGGGCCTCTTTCCCACAATGCATTGCAAACTATTTAAAGAAAAAAAATTGAAAAACTGGCATAAATCTTTTTTCCCCAAACCACTGGTCGTATTTTCATGAAAAATTTGGGTAGTCGGCAGTATGTGTGGTGCCCTTCAAAATGACCTAGTGGAATTTTAATATGATCAAAATTACGCAAATGAGATGAAGAGCAATTTCAAAATATTTCCAACAAAAATCAACAGCAAAAGTCACGTGACCGCTAAAGATTGTATTTATGATGTCAATAGATCATGTGCATGTGATGTTACAAGCCTAATTTCAGAATGCTAAGACCCCCCCCCCCCAGGAAATATGTGTAATTTAGCACTGAAATATTCGTCTCAAATTCAAGATGGCTGCCAAAACATGTGACCAATATGCCACATCTCAGGAAATTCAGTATATCGCATCGGCCTTTATCAACCTGCCAAATTTTAAAACGTTTCAAGCATTACATAAACAATTCGCGGAACAATGAAACACAAACAAAAACAAAGGTTTTCAAACCAAAGGCTTTAAAAACCTGAAACATACTTAGTAACAAAAACAAAATCTTTCAAGCCATAGGCCTTGAAAACCTAATTACCGGTTATTGTAAAACTGCCGGAATAAGCTTTTGGAATCAGCTGATTTGATAATCATTATGAGCAGGAAGACACTGCTTTGTTACATAACAGCTTAAATTTCCTAAAATCGGCGAGGACTGAAAAGCTGGTTACACTGCGTTCCGCAACTGCCAGCTGATTGTAACTACAGCTGCATTGGTACCTTGAACTCAACATTAGCCATTTTCTTGCATGCAATTAGTGGGGTAAAGCATTTGTCGGTGATTTATAGCGCCTTGCGACCAGATGGCGCAGTGCTGTATTGTTCTGGACAGTGACATGGCAATCAGTAAGACGGTTTGAATACTTCTGATAGAAATCGGTATCATGGAATACTCTGCTTTCTAATAATGCTGCAAATATTCTATTTATAGCCGGCTTTGGGGGCATGTGTTTCTGTTACAATACCGTGCCAATTAAATGAGCAAATTCTATAACATTCTCATAATATGGTAATTTATATCTAGAGTTAGACTTGCTTGCAGTCTGTTGCGATTCCGATGAAAAATTCTTGAAAAATAAATATAAATTGCATAAACGAGGGGTGAACGCGAAAGAAAGACTTGCCTTCAGTGTAAGCGCCCTCATATTACCGGCCAAATTCGGGCTTGTTAATTTGCATATACGTCATACGGTGGGTGGAGCAGCCGAGCCACGGATCATAACAATAAACCGAACATCTTCTGATAACATTGCACGTTTTTTTGAAATTCAATCTAAAATAAAATGGCATATGCGATTCGGATATGAGAAAGTAGGTAAAGTTTGGGATTTCGCGGTCACATGACTTCGCGTTCACCCCTCGTTTACGCAATTTATATTTATTTTTCAAGACCACACTTTCTATCTTTCTTCTGTTTTTTTGTGAGAAACAACATAAAATAAAACCATATGTTTAATTGTAAACAAAAAAGTAAAAAAAATCTGGTAGACAACTACCTTAATTGCGTGCTCTAGTTCATTGGTCACATGATGTTAAAGTTACTGCGTACGTGGTCCGACACATACATGATTCAAACTATGAAATAATATAGATTATGTTTCCTAAAAATATTATTGGCAATAATAAATAAATCTATTTATATACAAACTGTACATCTATACATTTGATTAAGTTTAGAGTTCAAGATACGGTTCAAAGAAATCGTGAAATTCGTCGACTTTCGAGTAAACGCCAGGCAGTTGTGGCCGGGCGCATCCATAACCCCAACTCACTATTCCGAATAGGTACCATCTATCGTCTTCAAACTGACAAATCAATGGACCACCGCTGTCGCCCTGCAAAAAAAGAAAGAAAATTGTGAAACAACCACTTGATGTCGCTATTATATTACAATATTGTGTTCCTACATCGCCGGTATTATGATAATACATCAAGCGGATACCAGACAGCACGTGATACGAACGCGTTTCATAATAAATGAGTCGTCAATTATGAATTAATTTAAATAAAATCACAATGTAGTGTCTGGTAGGAAAACAATACAACGAGAAAGTTAACATGTCTATTTAAATAGTCCGATACAATCTACAAACTAACATTAGTCAAGAGAAACATTGTGTGAAACTGTTCACTGTCATCATGTATTAAAATCCAGTGCACGAGTTGTGATTTGGGATAGTTATGTATATTTCATTCTTTGAAAGTTTTCGCTGTCAAATGAATAGACAGGAACACAATGCTACGACGTGCATGACATGAACGTGTAAACAACACCTAGACAGCTGGGTATGACATTGCAAACTACATCTAGGTAGCTGGGTATAAACATGCAAACAACGCCTAGACATCGGGTATGAACATACAAACAACACCTAGACATCGGGTATGAACATACAAACAACACCTAGACATTGGATATGAACATACAAACAACACCTAGACATTGGATATGAACATACAAACAACACCTAGACTACTTGTTATGAATAGCTGGGAAATTATTTTGTCTTAAACAAAAATTGATAACATGTAATGTTTACTTACATGACATATTACCATGTCGAGTTTTTTCCCAGAGGAAAATGTGTATTAAATGTATAAATTTCCCAAAAATGGTCCTTTAATATGGGAGAATAAAAATACATTGCTAGCGTACCTCGCATGCGTCGATGCCGCCGTTTTCATAACCAGCACATATCATTCTTTGCGTTATCTGGTCGTTATACTGAGGTGAGTCGAAGTACTGTTGACAATCAGAGTGTGAGATGATCGGTACTTGGGCTTCACGAAGAGATGGAGCATATATACCTGCCATATACAAATAGTGTCAGATTGGAAATCCAAGAAGGAATGGGTTACACGTGAAATCCGACAAGGAATGAGTTATACGTGAAGTCCGAATAGGAATGGGTCAGACTAGAAATCCAGCGAGGAATGCGTCAGACTAGAAATCCATCAAGGAATGGGTCAGACTGGAAATCCATCAAGGAATGGGTCAGACTAGAAATCCAACAAGGAATGGGTCAGACTGGAAATCCAGCAAGGAAGGGGTCAGACTAGAAATCCGACAAGGAATGGGTTACACTAGAAATCCGACAAGGAATGAGTTAGACTGGAAATTCAACAAGGAATGAGTCAGACTGGAAATCCATCAAGGAATGGGTCATACTGGAAATCCATCAAGGAATGGGTCAGACTGGAAATCCAGCAAGGAAAGGGTCAGACAAGAAATCCACAACAAATTCGGGCAGACTGGAAATTCATCAAGGAATGAGGCAGGCTGGAAATCCAACAAGGAATATGTCAGACTAAAAATCCAACAAGGAATAGGTCAGACTGGAAATCCATCAAGGAATGGGTCAAACTGGAAATCCATCAAGAAACGAATAAGACTGAACGTTCCATATAGAATGGATCAGACTGGAACTTCCAATAGAAAGGGGACAGACTAGAAATCCTGTAAAGAAGGGGTCAGAGTAAAACCCCACAGGGAAGGGGTCACACTAGAAATGCCACCCGGAATGGGTAAGAATACAAATCTCATAGGAGTCATACTGGAACTGGAAGCGATTTGTGTCAAATAAAAAAACTGTTACACCGCGCTTACTAAATAACACATATATGACGTATAGATCGTTATATTATTTACTGGCTTTGAAAATGTTATAATTCTTAGATAATAACGATTAGAAGTATGTACGATAAATGACGTCATCAATAAATCATGACCCAATCAATCTCTTTAGAACTCTGAGTCCCACTGAACATCATGTATATCAACAAAACCCACGCTTCCTATAAATTGCGCCCGCTAGCGACGAAGAGTTTCTGTTGTGTACGTTGCACTTAAATGAAAGCAATGTCGATGACATCGGATATCAAGAGCGACAATTTTGTTCGTATGTGTAGTTCATATTTGGAATAGTATGCACACAACAAACCCATTCCGTTAATTTCTATAAATAAATTAAAATAAATTTTACAACGGTTTCAATTGAAACATTTTCAAATGACGTCATTGAGCTTGTTGGATTCAAGTTGCATTATGTCCATGACGGAGCAAATAGACGGTTCTTAGACGGTTCACATATCAGATCAATGGCGGCCCACAGACAATATTTCTTTCACCTATCTTCGGCCGCCTATGTCACGCAAGCGCATTGTCGCTAGCGTTCACTTAAAAAGTTATTCTTAAAACTTTGTAGTAACCTACCGTCCTCCCGTATGGCGCCCCATCCCGCAATGCGGCACATCGTACCGGGCTCGACGCCAGTGTGGCCACGTGATGACAGACAAGCTGGAAATACGTAATCGTTGATCTCCAAGTCGCGAGACAATTTAATCAAACCAATATCATAATCGTGACCACTGTCTTCATATAATGGGTGAGTGTAAAACGCTTCTACTCCAACATCGACTCGATAGGGTTCCTCTCCTGTCGGAAAACTGTTGATAGCTCCCACAGCGACGTACATGTCATCAACGCTGAAATCAAATTTTGTTTGGAACATGGTTTTGAAGTTTGGCAATAACAAATTTGAATTTTTACAAATTATAGCACGAAAAGGGACGATACAATATTACATTTACGTTGTTAAAGGGCGGCAGTTGTCACGCCGCGTTCTGTTCGATATTAAACTGATAGCGACGTATACAACGCGTGTAAAATACATTGTTTATTTACGTGAAATTTGAATACGCGCTGCGCGACGACCACCGCGCTTTAAATTTATCTCACGTTATATTACCGCGAATGGCCCGACATTTTGTCTTACCTCTCATTTTCAAAGCAGTGTGCCGCCGTCATAACCCATCGTCTGTTTACGAGTGTGCCACCACAGAATGGCCCACTACCAGGGTTGCCAATTGAGGCTAACCACGGCCAGCTACCGGATACCGCGGTCGAACCTCCCACAATTCTGTCTGACGGTGCTGCTTCCATTGCGGGCATATAGCCGCATTCTATAAGTAAAGTGTGAGAGACGTAATAAGGAGACTTTATGATTTAAGATATGAGACAAAATATACGTATGCCAGTAGTGTCAACGATAGTCATGTCTGAAGTGGTACGAACAACAATCGTGTGACGCTGAAAATAAAATTACTTGAGAAAACTACTAGAGAAATGTATACAAACTGGACTAAATGGAACAAAACGAACGCAGACACAATACAAAGCTTTAAACTAAATACTTTAAGCCCATTATTGGGAGCAATACACTTCTTATGACATGCCATGCACTAAAATGGGTGGAGACTAGATTGGTTATCTAAACTACGTGATCTGATAAAAACATAAGGTAAAACAGTTAAAGCGTGGAGTCTACACCAGCGCATGCGTCAGATGGCCATAGCGTGTCATTGTTTACAAACAAGCAACTACCCACGAGCCTTTGTGTTTTAGCGTGTGTTGTTATCGTCGCTTGGAACTCAATTCCCGCGCGTGCGCAGGTGACGACCCTCCCGCTTTAATATACACACAACAAAAGAACACTTTCAGGAACTGTATAAAGAAAATTATATCAATTCCTTGATAACAAACGTGAGCATAACTGACTCAAAATTATTAAGGGCTTTCAAACTATTCAAAAATAACAGTCAACAAAAAACTTCTTTATACAAAAACGCTATGACAGAAAAACAGCCGGATTATTTGCGAGATTTACAATGCCTGAGTTGCCACAAACTGAATATCGAAACCGGTCGACATCGAAGATCTAAAATACCACAGCAGAGTTTAACTTGTGAAAATAGTTTACAACCGTATATGCAAACGACAGAGAAATCTCTATATCCAGCCAAGACCTATATAGATGGATTCCAGGATATAACCAACCATGAAAATTCATGGAAATTTTGAGCAACCAAAACATTACATTAATAAACGAAACAATAATGTACCTTGAAAAGTGTTGAATTGCAAGGAACTCATTATATGCTTGTTCAGTTTCATGTATTTTTCAGTAAATACAAATGAATAAAACTTTATTAACATATTTACCAAAATATTTATCTTCTCGGTGTAGTAATTTCTTTTCTGTTATATTCTAATAATGCCAAGCTTTCTTGGCTTTCTATAGATATGTGTACCTTGCATTACAAATTAGATGTACACATCCACAGTGGAGGAACCGCAGCATATCTAAGAACGTAATTTCCCTGGACGATGAGTGGAATATGTGTTATGTTGTTGAGCTTTGTGTCTTAGGATGTAACTTTCAAAACTTTATGTCTTAAAGCAGGGGTCATAACCAGCGTATGCGGTGGAAGGTCATAGCGTTGTTTACAAACAAGCGTCGGAGCTTTTGCGTTTTTAGCGTGCGTTGTTTTTCGTCGCTTAGGACTCAATTCCCGCGCGTGCGCAGGTGACGCCTCCGCTTTAAAGTATAAATGTAGATTCATTGGAACACATAGCCCATACTGTTAACGTTTTGGAGTTCTACCAAAAGTTGATCATACTAAAAATAAATCAAAATCAGCAAAAATACACAAATGTACTCAAATCATTGCATACTTTGCGCTTTGAGATGTGGTTTGAAAGTTTTCAATGTTAATATGTAGTTTTCTAGGCTCAGATCTAAAGATGTGGTTTTCAAGTATTTGCATCTTAAGGTATAGATACATGTGTGCAGGCACTCAGAGCCCTGAATAAATTGAATTATCAAAAGACGTGTGAGTTATTCCCTTTATTAAGTGACTTTAACGATTGGCACTAGGTGAATGATCAGGCAAATTAGTCATTCTCCCAACTTTTTTCGATAAGTACAAAACTTATTTAGCGTGAAACTCCATCACCGGGCGAACTAAAGCGGAGTTTATGAGTTTGTGGCAGATATCCGAAACAACAAACACATGATTTTAGAAATTCTAGAGCCAACGAACCTGCATCTATGGCCGTAATGTGTTCACTTTGTGTCATAATAAGATTTTCTCGTGTGTTTATTGCAATATCGGTAGTTATAAAGGGGATAATTTGTTTTAGAGGAAACGATAGTTGCGTCATTGATATGTAACTCAGTTGTTTTGCGGGTTGGTGTGACGTCATTGTAGATGTATTAAAGAACTGCCACAAACCTATATATGACACTGTTGATGTTGCAGAGGAAGATAAAGCATTTGTTGAAAAGAATGTTGATACTTTTAGCATTGTACTCTCGTACCCCCTCCTTGACGGCGTTGAGGACGACGACGCCAACGGTGAAACAGTTTGCGAACTTGAAGTTGACTGTAGCGGAAGCGGCGTGGATTTTACTGGATTCGGTGTGATTTCTGATGTGTGTTCTTGTGGAGTTGTTGTCTCATGGGATTCATGCATATCATCTGTGTACAAAACATGGATATATTAAAACTAAACAAAGCCTAAGTGCGGTTACCAAGTCGTAAGCCGGAAATGTACGAATGGGAGTGTAATCGTTCAGGAAACTTAACTCGGACCTGCGGCTCTTGTCCTATGCTTGATATCGACACACACCAGTAGAGCGTTTGCGTTACATAAAAATCGGCCACAGTGTTTCAACCGTTTTACTGTTTTCCTTTGCCTCAACCTGCTTTCTCAAGATGTAACATGTTTTATACATACACCATAAACCAGCATAGCGCGAATTACCCAGGCTGAACTATTGAGTTCTTCCATGTTAGATAATGGTGTATTTTTGTGTAACTTCTGTATGTATTGTGTATGGAAAGTCTACAAACTATATTAACAAACTTTATGGGTGGAGTTATACTTACTACGAATTGTTATAGAACTCACGTCTACTCCGTGCAGTAGGTTGTTTGTTTCATTGCTGTCTTGAAGAAAGATTACCCACGTTGAAAGGACGCCCTCAACTGCGCTACCAGATAAAGTACTCGAATACCGGAAGTAAATTTTAAAATCTATCACGATACTTCCGTTTCTTCGGAGAAAAAGAAATGTGAAAATGAGGATTTGTAATGGAATTGGATTACGGAAACATGCCAGCCTAAACAACGCTTATCCACAAAATCGTAACGACAGTCACGGTAATAAATAACTCTTCATAATTAAGTGTTACCGACCACTCCACATCTTCGACAGCATTTCCATATACACATGAGTTTGAATTAACACGATAACAGCGATCTTACCTGATATTAGTAACCTGACAAGTTAGATAATGATCGGACAACGTGCTACCGTAGAACAGTGAATTTAACTGGAAAAATATCAAATAAGTATTGATCTTAAACTAACATATAATTAGCATAACTACTCAATTTTAAAACTTGTTATTATATTAAGAATTGCAAATATTCTTATTAGATTGTACATAAAATAAACAATTAAGTAGGTTTATTCTGAAGTCGTCACGACTTATTGAATTATTACCTCTTCGTCCGCCTTTCGAAGTAAATTTAAGCGCTGCTCTGATGATCGGTTATCGTACTCTGTTATATACAGTGCCCTCTCTCCGCCTATAGTTTGGACTTGGAACTCCCCGGAATATATAGATATATTTGCAGTCCCAGATTCGACTTGCGAAGTGTCCCCTAATGACGTAGACGGTTGGGATAAACCGCCACTTGATATAAAAACTATAAAGTAATTAATAAAATAAATGTAATGTGTTAGTACCAGCAAATCTGTAAAGATTTATGTAATCGACTCGGAGTCATCATGATTGCTGACATATAGCATATATGCAATAAATTGGAGAAACAATATGAATATACATGTATTAAATAAAATAAACATTGCATTATTAGTACGTACCAGTTATTTAGAGCGCATGCTCGTTATTTAAACAAAAGTAGATTTAGTACTTGACTACAAGTATGTGGATAACATGGGTAATGTTGCAGTGTTTGCGGAAAAGGTCATCTCAAAAATAAATGTTGTTATTAATATTCATGCGCTTTAATTTGCATATCACGAGACTACATGGAACACGGTGCGCGCCCTGGTGCACGTGTGCGGTACGATCGAAAAGTGTCAGTGAGTTTTGTGTAGCCTAAATCCTCCCAATGCCAACTCAATGATACAGACACCCTGTGACAATGCGAAACATTGAACAATAAAAGTGTATACGGTAAATATAATAACAAAGCAAGCAATAGTTTAGCAATAGTGCAATATGCATACTATATATTATTATGCAAATATGGTAGTTTCTGATTTGCCTAATTTGGTAACTCTGGGAATTGACGTCACACGTTTGAAACCTAGTCGGTGCCACTATGGGCATATGTATACAAGTCGAGTTTTTTTACGACCGTACCATAATGATACTTTGAATTTATTTATTGGTTCAAAGATGTGATAAACACGAAGACGTATATATTTCACTATCGTTGTTGTTTTTGTTAGTTGTTCGTTCAATAAGAAATGAAAATCATTACTGCGCATGTGCGGGGATTTCTGTAACTACAATCATTGCACATGTGGGTTTCATCGAACAAAACTTTGTGTTGAATTTAATACAAGAGCAAGATTTCTAGTTTGCAGAATATCATACGCAATTTGGTCTTCGTAATGGCAGTATCTAACAACTGAACAACAAATAAAAAATACATGTTTTGTTCATTTTGCATTTTTAATTTTCCACAAAAATCTGACCTGTACGCAAATTTTGCCCAGTACATGTACCTCGAAATCTAAATGTGTTCTATTTTATGTTATGTATTGACAAGAACGGATAGTGCACTAACCTGTAAAACAAATGGCGACAGCAACGCCAATCACTACCACTATTACGATTACGATTACAAAGATGAAGCAACAAAACTTGTGACGTTTAAATGTGATTGGTTGACTTGCAGAGCATTCCTCATAGCCTAATGAATATTTATGTAAATTCGTCTCTGACGTACTATGTGGCGATACCCGCTCTGTGATTGGTTCGTTTTTGGGCTCTTTAACTTCGTCGTCTTCGTTTTCGAACACAGGGTTGTCAAATCTGTTATCCATTGCTAGACCTCGAACAAAATACGTACTACGTTAATAATGAAAATATAAATATTATTATATATTACCCACCATGAGCAACCGTACACATACAACATTCACGAAATACGGTTAGCCTATTTTCTTGTGTTGCTACGAAGGCTTTCAAAGATTATTAGAGAAAAATTAAAAAAAAATATGCTAAATAAATTCTGTACAATTCTGTGATCTCATAATTTATGTAATGATATATATTCAAGGCATTGATTTACAAATATATGGATTTATTTGATTGCGTAACTGAACTCCGGCGCTGACTTTTGTCGTCTATGTCCTGTGAATGTAGGTTTGGCACTGAATAAACATATATGATAACAAATCCGAAATTGTTGTTATTTTGTTTTTGACAATAAAACACTCCTCCTCGGCTGATTATATTACAAAGCTCTGACCACCTATCAGCGCATGATGTCCATATTTGATCTACTGGTATTTTACGCACCGAAATCCGTTCTATGATCATGATTAAGTCATATTATTTTTAGTGAGATCTCGTAATCACGACATACGCTATAATGTGAATTGAAAATCGGATACTAGTATCCTCGGGGGCGGACATCCGGGCATTTTCTACCGCCTGGCAACCTTTGCGGTGAAAACAAAGACCAACAACTCACAGAAAACGGTACTTTGCGATGGTTGTTGAGAGTGCCCTGAACAGTGTAACAAGATTAGCCCTACGTGTGTAACATATATGAATTTGGTTGTTCAGGATTACTTCAAAGTTGAGTTTGTGTTGTTTTCTCGAGTTTTCACCGGCTCCACAGGCGTTCCACAGCAGCGCGCACAAAGCCCATAGAAATACGTGGTACAGCGGTGCGCGTCTTAGCAACGTAGAACGTCAGTGACGTAGCTCCGCCCCCCCCCCCCCCCGAGGATATGAATTGAAGGGAAGTATTTACAATAGCATCGTCGACAAAAATACTAACTTTAAATTTAAGCCATAATTCGGGTTAGTTTGTGTACAATCATAACCCTTAGATGTGAAAACTCGTGCGCAATTTCGCGAGTTTCGTTGACAGTGAAAATAAACAGATGTAGGTTTATGCAGCTTCGGTGCTTTCCGGGTGTGTTGTCCGGTCGTGCTTAGTCCGGGGTGTTTTGTTGGTTTGTCAGAGGATGTTTTTTCGGGGTGTTTTGTCCGGATACTACTTTGATTGAAGCTGATAATTAACCACAAATGGTGTGAAGTTAAAGAAATACCGCCATTTTTGTCGCACTCATTCTAAAATCTAGAGAATAATAATATAATTTTTAGCAATATAATCGACTTCTCGGGCGCGTCCCGCAAATAAGACATGGCAGTGGTCTTCGCTACGCATGTCCGGAAGTATCTTAGCTGATTCAGCTTCCCCCATTGTTGTGTATTACCTATGACGTCACAGTAAATATAGGCGTTGTCTCTTAACAGTTATGGATATATGTCTATTTGAAATAATTAAAATATCCACCGTCCACCCTTGATGAATACCTATATTTTAAATTAATAACAAATGGAGATTCACAATTTCTGTTGAAATATCCCACCCCTTACCAATGAAGTCGTGCGATATTGGTATGTTTCAAGATCACGACCCTTAAATTTTTAGTTTAAACTCATGTGGTGTGGACGGCGGGCGTAATTGCCGAGTCACTGTAACATAACGGCATCTCTTCGCCCAAGGTAAACCGTGAGCGTGGGTTTATCAACTTACCTCCCTAGACTTGAACTGGACTACGAGTGTTTTGATAAACCCGGTACACATGTCTTAGACAGTCTCCACTGAACAACACTTCATTTCAACTGAGCGACCTTCATATGAGTACTGAGGTCACACGCATTGACAAAAGATTGGGGAAGACAACTCAACTGTTATGTTTGGGTGTGTTCCTTTCCATTGACGCAGTTCGGTCGGGGAGGGCAATGCACTAAAAGTGGGGCATTATTTTTCTCAATAAACTGTCTATTAGTAGTCGGAACTATGATAAGTACATCGACACTCGTATAAACTTTAACTAGCGCGCGGACATGGATTAAGGGCGCCATCTACGTAGCAATTGAGAAATAGAATGGAATCGAAATAATGTGAAACATGTATATTTAGCTAGCATGTTATTTCAGCTAATTTAGCTGATCCACGATTTTTCTAAATTAAGATGTCGTTAATAAGTATATTCTCACAGTAAGATAATTGGTACTTTAGCTAAATTAAGATTCAGTTAATTCATGCATTGAGTCTAATTCGCTAAAATGGCATGTAGCTATTTCAATGTGTTTTACAGTATACGTAATATAACATATATATATAGCATTTTGAAGGAAAACAGGCTATGTAATCTCCATGAATGCAATGAAGTAGGAGATGAGAAACATTACGTTTTATATTATAATAACTGTCAAATCAAAGAACAAAGATCTAGATTCCTTGCAGCCTTTAGCATGGATGAATTATTTCTTACTATTGTTTCAAGTAACGATTTTTTTCATTCTAAGCATTTTTGCAAAATTTATTTTCTATATTCTTGATATATTTTAGTATTGTAAGTTTTTGTTGTCCTGAATGTTTTTTTTTTTGGACTTTACTCAAGATTTCATTGGTACGTCCAAATAAATTTCTATCATATCACCATCGTCATATAAGGTCAAATACATAGACATCATAAAACAATACAATTTATACAATACACTCACAGATAAAAATTAAGATTTGTTAAACAAAGATTTTATTAACAAATAACGTACATAATGTACCTACAGAATACATATACTTCGTCGCCGATGACTTCGGTGTTACAACGAATACACTTCGTTGCTTCTGTAGGTACTACATGTATAAACACGGCGTAAATTAACAATCACGTGACTGATATCGATAACACGTTGTAACAAATATACACATGTTAACAGTGTTTGAATTGGCCCACCCTTACAAACAAACAACTTTCGCCTTTCATGAATGGGAAACTTTACACGACTTTATCCACAAATCTCTTAAATTAAAAATAGTTGCAATTCTCTGTAACAAAAAGGTTCGTTGATTGACAACAAAAGATAGTCGCTCAGTGTTTACGGTCGCGTTATACTTTTCACTTCAGTGCACACGCTGAAGGACATAATGAGGTCCGCCGGCTTTGTCATTTTTTTTAGTATTTAGTATAGCGCCCTCCAGTAAACCGACATTAACAAACAACAAATATTGAAATATTAAAATTCGATCGTCGTGAAGGGCGCGTTCTAACATGATTCAGTTTGTGTGTCAATACAAACAGTGCGCTTTAACAAAATAACGAAAAAAAGCATATTTTTTGTCGTCCAAAGACAGATCGAAATATACCTGCTACATGCGTGAATATTTTGCATTATTCAGAAATGTACACCATCGTGCAATTGTGGAATTAAATGGCGATGATAGCAATTGCCAAGAAGAAAAAGACAATGCTATCTATCACTTGTCAATGGACATTTAACGAGAATTACATAATCACGGACACTCATTTGACAGAAATAAAATGCGTACATACTAATAAATATCTATTTATGGTCAACCGCATTTAGGATTATGAGTTAGTTCCACTCAACAGTGGTATATGGGTTCAAAGGTCACCGATAGTTTAATGGAGTCAAATAAACACAGTCGTTACCGTTACTACAAATCTCATATTAGTATGATACAAATAGTAACGTTGTTACAGCTTTGGTGGCATACGCTAAAGGTCCCGCGTACTTAAAACAATGTCACTAGCATGTTCCAAATAACATGTTCGTTCGTTTGAATGGACATTTCTGTCACGTGACAGTACTAAGGTCGGTGCGCTGCGCTGCGCTGCTGCGTCGAAACAAGTCACAGACGGACTGGCGCCGCGTGATGTGACGTAACGTGACGTGACGTTACTAACCAATGCGGTGTCTTTACTTCAATAACGTCCAGTTGATGACAATGAATAAATTATAAAAATGTGCATGCAGTATCACGTGGTACTAGTACTACATATCCCCTGCTTGATTTTCTACTTTCTAGCACATTTTAATGTTTTCGCAACATTTAATTATCCCGATTCCGTTGTGCGTGCATTATTAATATCCAAATACAGAGGAAACACGTCAGCGTGACATCACGAGTTCCATAAATGGTTGGTCACATCACGAGTTCCGTGGTAATAGCGGCATGTATTTTAATTTCAGTAGTTAATATTTCACGCGAGCCATTAATAAATCGTTTAGCGGGCGCCTAGTCGCATTATATAGAGGTAATGTATCCTGTCAACCACTTTGTATTAAATGCACGCCATGTTATTGCGACTTGCTTTCTATTTGGACAATAGTCGACAATGGAATGTTGACCTCTCCGATTGTATTCAGTTGATAAGTAGCTTTTGTCGTGTTTTATTTATCGTATCATAATACCTCGTGGGTTACAGTTAACATCCCCCAGCGGCTTTTATAGTCTCGGCAAATCTCGATCGTGGCGGCTGGAGTAAGAGTCGTTGTCGCACATGTTCGGATGACTCCCTTTAGGCCACTCTGAAATTGACGATTCGTTTATTGTGCGAGTTGCTATCAGGCCTAACAACTCACGACAGACTGCGTATACACACGGTATGCCCTTATGAATTCTACGTGATAAAATGTGTTGATACACCACAGTCTATAGACGTTGATCGTGTCTCGACGGGCAACCATCGGACCAGCTACCAAATTAAGAGGAATTATGGACGTTCAGTATTAAAGTGTGAGTTTACTACAAGACATCGTGTCAATACATTGTACATTCGTGAACACGTTTGTTGACAATTCTATCAAATTTCAGGAAAAGGGATTAGAACGTGATACGAGCGTGTCGTCATGGCAACTATTTTTGCTGACATGGAGGTAGGTTAATTGATATCCAACTATTTAAGATGAAGTAATAATAACGACAGCACAATATTATACCCGCACGTAGTTACAATAATACATAATAACAATTCAGCCAGTTAAGTATGTCGCACCTGTGTATACACTATTGAATTAAGCAAGTACATTTCAAATGAATCATACGCACTTATATTTGAAATCATGGATTCGGCTTCAGATAATACAATATAACTGCATGTCACCGTGGCTTCCATAGGTTCTAGGGTTATGTGACAACCGGGTACTAAAATAGAACGAGCCACTACCATAAAACAAATTTATATGCACCAATGTGTTCTGAGATTGGGTGGTTAGTACGAATAACTGTACGTACCGTTGTACAGTGTTTGTAAAAGGGGCTCTATTATAAGCAGTCTGTTCTCACACCACGACATTAATGATTGTAGTAGTTTATTCTATTTCAGCAACGTGTTCATCGATTATATTCGTTTGGAGAACAAACTTGTCAGGGTTCATGAGATCACGATCTGATGTCAGTGAATCCCATTTATATCTGTCGATTCATGTCACTCCTAAAGGTACATACTTTGTGATTGTAATGGCGGCGAATGTCTGAAATACACAGTACAGTAATCCCTGTGTGTGTCGTAGGGGAGATTTGGTGACCATGGGTGTGTGGCCGCGGTCTAAACTATTATAGGCATGCACTCTTTAACATACAGTCCCACAAAAAGAAATCAATATATATTGATCAGCAGGGGATGATCACAATTGAATCATTCGTGTATACATGGTATTAACTTCAACACTTCTTGTAAAAACATGCCACTCTCTTTGGACGGGGAGTTCATTTCGTATTTTGCCCACATGAATGGCGGCCAAGTTGGTTTCCTTGCCGTCGCAAGTACACCAGAAAAATACCAAACCCCGCGCGATAGCGCAAAGAATTAAGCCAGACAGTGGAACCTATTTAACAAGTAGGTTACCTAGTAACTAACTAGATAATAAAACCAGGGTAGGTATTCAGTGGTCAGTGCATTCGCTTTGTTGTTCAGTATAATCGATGGTGAAACATTGCTGTTTATTGATTTCCAAACGTTCAATTTTACAGCGGTTCAAACAGGAGGAGGACTCAAGTAGCATCTCGTTAAGAGCGATTCTGGGTGATAAAAATTTAGCTGATTTCACAGGTGAGTAAACCACCCTGTTACCAATATACTATAAAGAAAACTGCGATAAAAACTGTCCGTCTTCGACATTGTGAAATTCTTTTGTTTTTATGCCAAAAACACAGTACTAAGTAAAATCATATTTATTAAAGTTATTGTTCATACATGAGTTGGTGAACACACTACATAGTTTGTAATTGTATTCAGCTTCTTTCAGTCATAATTCAAGGAAAATAAATGGCAAAAATATAGAGAATATTTTGGCAAATTATCTTTTTTCTTTAATATTCTTGTGTAATAATTAACTCTGCACGTGCGGGAATTGAGTCCCAAGCGACGATAAAACGCAAAGGCTCATGGGTAGACACTTGTTTGTAAACAATGACACGCTATGGCCATCTGACGCATGCGCAGGTGACGACTCCCCCGCTTTAACCCAGTTCATGTATGGAAAAGTTACCCTCACAACAATGCATGACAACGGTGTTTAATAGTGACGTGTAGTACTCGATGCCTACTTGTGTTTTTGTGTATCGAGGCACAGTACTAGAGCTGCCAGGCTGAGGATGGCAGCATTGTGTTACGTGTGTCCGTGAATATACAAGTACATGTATATGGTAACACATGTTCATAGCTTTTAACATTGTGTCTAATATTATCCTTCAGATGACGATGACGATGCGGATTTCCAGCTGTGGAAGGATGGAGGATCTTTATTTACAGAATCAAAAGTAAGTTCTGATGACAACTCACAATTGATACAATGTTGTGACCACGCGTCAGTGATCAGCGTCACGTTAAACGTTATAGAGTGCAGACAAAAAATGACATTGCTGCAACCACTGCGCATCAATTCATAAGAGTTCGACTAATCTCACTGTCATTGGATGGCCAGATGACTATATCCCATACGAGTTACAAATATAGCATTAGATATGGAAGGATGTTGAGATAGTTTGCGAACATTCGACTTAATATGAGAACAAATTATAAGTTTATTCATAAAGCGTTTAAGCACAAGTCATTAAATTTTGGGCTTGTTTACTCAGTATCAAATGTTATTTTGGAGGAAACTTGAGTGTCTGAAAAATAGAATGGCCCTTTCTGCTGAAACTGTTTGCATGTAATTCTGAACATGCATAAGTACATTTCTTTTACAATGTATATACCCGAACAAAATTTTAGATATGACGAAACCTTTTTAAATTATGTGCGAAAAGTAGTTTTAATGGTAGCAAACTGTCTCAATTTATAGTTAGGTCACTGGAAAATTGTTAACGCAAGAATAAAAAACATGTTCGAAACGATTTGTTGGGATTTGTTAAATTGCCGTTAAGGGCGAAGTTGCATGCTACCGACACAAATATGTATTTGCGATAGTTGCACGCTATACGCCTAATTACAAATGTTTTCGTTGTCTTTCAGAACAGGAAACCACAGCGAAGATTGAAAAGTCTGAAAGGCGGCGTTGGTATAAATGGATACTTTCATAAACATCCACCGGCTCAGTATACCTTTATCGGGCGAGCGCCAACGGAAGGAAATTACCACGCCAAGGTGGGTACTGCCGTGGTACGCCACGGGAAAAACAAATTTTGTATTTTTAATAGATTTCTAATCTAACAGATTCGATTGTGACGAAACCGATCATTTTGTAAGTGCCTACTATTCGTGATATTAGTACTACCGTGAACGTGTAGGCTCACCGACTTGCACCAATCAACTAAGTTAACACACCCACTTCAGCAACGGTATTAGACTAGATGCCGACGAGATTTTGAAGTAATGACGAATAATGTACTAGTGACTACTAGTTGTCATAAGTTGTTGTGGATAGGTCTTTACTAAAGGCTTCAGTTCGCATGCGTATATACACGAGAACGTACTGTAGTCGTAGATAGAGCCATTCAGAGATGACACAAAATTTTGTACCGACCACGTAATTGTATAGCAATTCACCAGGGCACTTTTGGGTGTACTCGGAATGACTAGCTTCCGATGTCGAAGACGACACGTTGAATTGCGACTCAACTCACCGCATCATGGGTAAAAACAAAATGGCAGCCTGAAGCGAAAACTTCCTTATTTGTGGATTTGTTGTATAAGAAACCTGCCACTACAGTTTCTTCAGGACATCGTGACTTCAATTTCAACATTCACCTGCAAAGTCGTAGTGAAATAAAATACTAGTACATATTTGGTAGACAATACGACTAACAACGTACCCGCCAAAACTATCACGTGCCACTGAAATTAAAAATATTTCATTAAGGACCAGTTTTGGCACACGCAACTGCGAAGCGTCCGATTTAAATTTGCTGCAAACAATTTTACCCAAAACTGTGATCCAAAATGTTCGGGTAGTAGATAAAGAACATGCGATGCAGTTAATATTAATGACATCAGTTTTATTTCTCATATGTCGTCTCTAATTTCGTCTCTTACATTGGGTAGATGTAGAATTGATGATTTCCATGGTGATTACCGATACATAGTCAATTTCACAAACATTAGGAAGCTAGACCACCATTTTGTAATTCAAGTTTGCAAGTACCCGCGAAATATATTGTGTGGATTTCTCAAACCATTGTTTCTGTATTGTATTGTCAGAGCCTAATCAAAATTCCCGAGCCGGGGTTTGACAGACCAACCAGAGGTTTGAGTTGTGGTGAGGCACTGATGACAAAACCCTCCTACCACTGGGAGTCTTCCAGAGCAAACAAATCTCTGTTCATTCCACGAAACAGTTTTACGTCACCTCGCCTTTCGCCTCGGAAGTCGTCTCGCAGAGCTGGCTTTCCCGAGAGTAGGCTCAATGCCAGTACCACAACTATGACGCCAAGAATATCCCTCCGAACAGGTAGGTGAATTTGGTATATACTTTTCGAACGCAATGTCAACTTTTGCTACAATTCACAGTATAAACTGTTTCACAATTTTTCGATCATGACCTGTAACTAATGCGAAATTATACCCATTTTAGAAGGGATATGTGTTAATAAAAGTCACCGAACACAAATAATGACAAAACATAAATAATAAACCTCAATTAGTCGTTAACTTGCAATGAATGTATGGGGGCAATGACTTCACATACTGATGTAATAAAGTATACAAAGTATACAAAGTATATATCACCGTAGCACATGTCGTAAAATATTAGAAATACTTTTTAAAAAGTAAAGCCTATCATTATGTCTCAAATACACAAAGTTGGTCCGCAGTGGACCTTAGAATCAAATGACCGCTGTAATCTCGACGTGACGAAAGCGATAGCCGCGAGACTTGCTCATTTCATCCCTCTGTGTTTCATTCCTTCCTGTTATTGTGTCCAGTGTTCGAAATTCCATATTTACTTAGATTTTGTTGTCCAGTTCCATCGAATGGTTGCATATTTTGATTTTTTGCAGGGGGGATTCTATATCTAGTACTCTTAGAACTATCGTGACAATACGGGAAATATTTGTGGATTCCTCTGGATCCACACTGCTCCGAATTAATGCACACACGCTACAAATTATTGAAATTTAACCGTTTATTAGGTATTTTATCGCAAAATCAGACGAACAAAAATGTTGACGTCGCGTATTGGGATCAGGTACCGATCCCAACTTATAGCTTGAGGAGTGATCTCTGAGTGTAACTTTGGATCTCCTAAATAAAGTGATATGAAGTTTTAATTTCTTCCTCTTGTGATTTTTTCCCTAAATAGTATACTAAATGTATTTATATGTTTGTTCCCAAGTCATGAGTACATGTGGTCTTTGTGTACATGTGATCACTTTTTTTTCTTCTAATTTCTTCTAGAGAAATCATCAACTTTTGCCATCGATAACAGAAGTTTAGAGAGTCGAGAACACACCGCTTCCCATTTCAAAGTGCCAAGAACTACTCCTGTGACGGGCCTCACGCCAATAAGCATTACTTTAGATCTCAAAATGTTACGGAAAGACAGTTTCGGGGACGAATCACCCCCACCCCTCAGTAGCTGATCTCCGTCGTATGTCGCCCTCTAGCGTTGTCTCCAGGGTGAAACAACAATACCGAGGCGATGTCTAACAACAATAGAGGGCGATGAACATTGAAAAACAGACTGGTCGTTTGTTGTGAGTGTTCGGAGAAGAATGCACGTTGTACACTTTAGAAAAGAGTAATTAAGCAATATGTATGCACGTGTGCATTTACAAATTCCGTCATCACGTCATAACTCTGAGATTACTCGAACAATTGCTGACGTAACGCCACGACTGCACATGTACAGTAACTGGCGTGATCTACAAAAACTAATTAATAATATTTACGTTATTTACATTTTAGATGTTGTCTATATCACATGGTTTATCTGACACTCTTAGAAACCTTCCCTGTACTTGACGACATCAATTAACGTGTGTACAGTTGTCTGGTTGTAGTATTAAAGTTAAATGTACATGTATATAAATAGAAAATTGCATATCATATTTTGAAGAGAAGTTCCAACCCAGCTGTGTTCTTAATTGTAAAATCAAAACAAACGCTGTGTCCAGATTAGATGACAAAGAAGTGTAACACCGTAAGATAACACGTGATGAAATCATTCAAACGCAACCATGTAGAAGACCTTTACCAATGAAATCTTCTGTAGACTACACCAGCTCATAGTAATTTCGGGAAGAATTCCCTTTGTAGCCCTACCCCTAGGTAGTTTCTTTCGTGTGTTCTGATTGGGTGATGCAAATGAGTCGAAGTGAATCTTACAATCGTTTGAGGGCGTGCGACATACAGTAAATCGTGGTGAATTCTGCCAAGGTTTAATGTTGAGGCTTTTGGTTGAATAAATGGTCCTTGGCTGTCGAAGATGCCACCTTGTATGATCTGTATAATTTAAACCTCTCAAGAAGCATGTAAGGGCATTGGATTTTGTACACTTCTTGAGAAATCTTATCCAACAGAATCCTGAAATCGAAATAACACAATTATGTTTATATTCGGTGATTAGACACCACGATATTTAGTAAAAGCTAGCTTCAGTCTTCTAATATTTAAGGATGCGTTGCCATACCAACCAATTCATTTAACCTTTTTTTCGAAATGTGGACACGGAAAGCATAACATATTCTAGTACGTCGTGCCGATGTTGTATATTAAATCACTTGAAACTGAAAAAAGATGCCCGTTATTGACTCCGGGTTCTCAGAGTGCGCCATCTGTGGAAATCTCGCTTTGTAAAGCAAATCGGGGATTGCGGTGAGATGATCGTCAAATGTGTCGCCATCTTGAAAGGTCAAAACTCTCTCTGATAGCCTCTCCTTAGTGATTTTG